TCGATCCATGCTAAACTCTCCTATCTCTTTTTCTCGTTCTTCTCCAGGGATCTCAACAATAACAGCATCGGACAGATGGTTCCATATCAACTTCCACCTCGCATTCAAGAAATGTACGTAGTTTTCATTCATTCTTCCGTGTTGCTCTTGATATCTCTTTCGTATCTAGAAACTTTGCGAACAACGAGTTCACCGAGACACTTCCCTACTCAATGAAGGATCTTATCTCGCTGATAAGCTTGTAAGTTTTCAGGAGTTTTGATCCATCGAGAGCTTAAGTTTCGGTTTTTTTTTTTTTTTTGTTGTAGCAACATGAGCAACAATCAGATTGTCGGTCCCGTTCCGGACATGTTCCAATCCCTGACAAGTCTTACGAGCCTGTAAGTAGTTCTTGGTTCTATTCTCCACGTTTTTTATTTCTTTGATCCAGGGATCTGTCTGGCAACCAGTTTAGTGGTCCCCTTCCACCCTCCATGGGAGCTTTGACGAGCTTGATAACTTTGTAAGTTCAATCATGATCGCTTGGATCTTGGATCACAGTTTCTTACACTGTTTGATCGTGTCAGGCATATGGAGAACAACTCGCTCAGTGGAGATATCGGCGTTCTAGGCCAACTCCAGCAGCTCCAAGACCTGTAAGTTACGTTCTTGCTCTCGAAAATCTCAAACACGAAATGTTGCTCCTTGTTGCAGCGATATCACAAACAATGGTTTCTCGGGACAAATTCCACCATCACTTCTCACGATTCCATCTCTCAAGTAAGCCATAGCTTTTCTTGTTCTGTTTCGAAAAAAATCATGTTTTACTTTCCGTCAGGATAACTGGCAATCAGTTTGGATCAGCGATTGTCATGGCTCCTGCGCCAGCTCCATTCCTTTTCGCTCCAGCCTCCGCTCCATCAATGCAAGTCTTGCAGCAGCCAAGCACGGTGAAACAGAATCCCGACCAGAAGTCTCCGCTCAAAGGCCCGGTTATATCAGGTGTGATGAGCAGAGGGAGTCGCCGGTACTGGAGCGCTGGAAAGATAGCAGGCGTGGTGGTGGCCTCGGCACTGGCTTTACTCGCAGGCTTGCTGGTAATTCTCTTCTTTTGCGGAAGAACAAACAAGGACGAAGAAGGAACCAACTCGACCAAAGACGAAGAGAAGCGAAGCTCCAAGAGTCATCCTCTCGTTGCCCTGGACAGAGGTAAGAATGTTTTGAGTATGAAACTTCTCATCGATTCTTTCTTTGTTCGGTGGATCAGTGTCTCGAGAGATGTTTGCGCAGCCAAAAGCTGACAGGCCTTTGACTCCACCACCCGCAGAAAAGAGCAAGCTTTCGATCGAAAAGAGCCCAGCCATGAAAAGTATTACACCCACGCCAGGCAAAGCTTCCAAGCTCCAGATTGCCGTCCCTGCCATCTCCATCGCCGAGCTCCAAGCTGCGACGAACAGCTTTTCTCAGGAAAATCTGGTCGGAGAGGGAGCTCTCGGGAGAGTCTATAGAGCCGAGATAGATGACAAGGTAAAAGTTCTTGGCATTTTTTATTCCTCGTTCGTTATAAGCATCGGTTGTGTTCTTCCAGATTGTAGCTGTGAAGAAGCTCGACACTTCAGCACCTATGGTACAAAACGAGGACGAGTTCATCAAAGTGGTCTCGAATCTAGCGCGCTTGCGGCACAGTAACATCACCGAGCTGGTTGGATATTGCACAGAGCACTCGCAAAGGCTGCTAGTTTACGACTTTGTCGAGTATGGAACGCTGTTTGAAGTCCTCCATTGCTCGGATGAGTCGAGCAGGAGACTTTCATGGAACCAAAGAGTGAAGATCGCCCTGGGAGCTGCTCGAGCACTCGAGTAAGAACTATTTCGTCACTATCCTTCTTTTGATCATTAGATGCTTTCCACAGGTATTTGCACGAAGTTTATCACCCAGCTATAGTTCACAGGAACTTCAAGTCGGTCAACATTCTTTTGGACGAGGAACTTAATCCTCGAGTCTCGGACTGTGGACTAGCAGCACTCGCTCCCTACGGTGCCGAGCGTCAGGTATCCATCTCACTTTTCTTTTCAGTCTCGTCTTTAATCTCTTTTCTTCTTTCTCGATCGTCCTTATTGCAGGTTTCTTCGCAAATGCTGGTCTCTTTTGGCTACAGCGCGCCGGAGTTTGCCATGTCTGGCGTGTACACTGTCAAGAGCGATGTTTACAGCTTTGGAGTGGTGATGCTGGAGCTTCTAACCGGAAGAAAATCGCTAGACAGGTAAAATCTTGAAGTTCTTCCATCCAAGAGTTTTATGTAAGTAAGCTCCAAACTTGAAACTTCCAGCTCGAGGAGCCGAGCCGAACAATCGCTGGTGCGATGGGCAGTGCCGCAGCTCCACGACATCGATGCCTTGTCGAGGATGGTTGATCCAGCACTCAAAGGAATCTATCCGGCCAAGTCTCTCTCCCGCTTTGCCGATATCATCTCATCGTGTGTCCAGGTAAAAGTTTGCGTTTTGTACCAATGATCCAAGCTCGTTGGGTTTGATTCTCTCGCGCAGCCCGAGCCGGAGTTCCGGCCTCCAATGTCGGAAGTTGTCCAAGCTTTGGTGCGTTTGATGCAACGAGCGAGCTTGAGCAAGCGAAGGCTAACAGCAGACGATTTGGGATCCTCACAAAGGAGTCTAGATCGTTACGAACCTTCAGATTCATCGGCTTAGAGAAAAAAGAAATACTTAGATTTTGACAACATTGTATATTGAATATGGAAAATAACTTGATAGAGAAAGTTAGCTGACCTGGCCCAGAAGGATTATCATCAACATTAAATGCCTTGCAGTAATTTACAAATATTTTTCAAATGATCCTTATTAACACACCTAGTAGATAATGAAATTGTAAATCAGCTCAGGCAATTAAAAAATATTAATATCTTTTAAAGAATCCTTTAGTTAAAGTCAAAATTATAATTTAAAAGTAAAAAACACTTATTTGCGAATATATATATATATATATATATATATATACATCCAACAAAATGTTTTGCATAGTTTTTGATATATAGTAGTGGATACCTAGGATGTTCTAATATCCTGGCCTATTCCATCATCTAATATACATTTAAATAACAATATAAACCCTACTTAACCTGAAAAGATTAATTATAGTAAGTATGTGAACCATGTTTAGCATAAATGCCTATGTGTTAGAATGGACTACCATGCGAGATGGTAGGACTAGAAAGTTTTACTACCTTCGATCACTGGGTTTTGGATCTAGAGTTAGGAGAACCACATCCTAAGGATATGATTGATTACTCACATGAGAAAAAGGATTAAGTTTATGTCGGTAGAGGGAGGGTATTTCTTTTCATGCTTGATCATCCACGACAAAGGAGAAAGAGAGTTTTGGAAGAGAATGGCGCAAGTGATGGTGATGGCAACAGCTTCCGGGAAGAGTTTGCTCGCTCATGGGCTTCATTCTGAGCAGCGCCTTCGGATTCGATGCTCCAGCTCGAGCAGTGACGAAGAATCGTCGTCGCCCAGCACAAGGTATCGATTTCATTGTCTGTGTGATCTGTTTGTGATCGATCAGTTTACCAGTGGGAGGAGCAAATTGGGGAGAGTGATCTTCTCAGCAATCGCAGCTGGAATTCTTCTCGCAGCTCCATCTCCATCTGATCCTGCCGACACCGTCGCCATCGCAGCTCCCTCTGGCGGTAGAATTGGAGGTCAGTCCTTCCGTTCCGCTCCAAGAATGGCGCCAAGAGTGGCTCCACCGCCAAGATCAGCTCCTCCTCCTCGATCCGGCCCCAGAATCAACAATTCCAGGTAGACCCACTTTCGATCTTGACTTTCAAAAGCCAGTGATGGTGCGCAGGACAAACATCTACGTGAATCCTGGCTATGGCTATGGCGGCTATGGGAATCCATTCTTCGGTGGCGGATGGGGATTGTCCCCATTCTCGTTCTTCGCTCCGCCCGCTCCGGCAGTGGCTGTAGGCGTCGGTGGATTCGATTTCGTTCCATTGCTGCTGGGATTACTGGCCGTGGGATGGATCTCTAGGGTTCTTCGCAACAGGAGAGACGAGGACGAAGGAGATGATTACTAGTAAACAGAAATTTTTGTATTATAATCGCGTAAATATCTGACGGTCAATATAAGCTCAAATGGAAGGCTGTCGTTAGCGCTACGTGGCGGCATCCGAATGGTGCTAGGCTTGGATCCATCGTGGCCGTTGCTACGCTCTATCCATTTGAGGGATTATTGTGGCGGGCGTGGAGGAGGAGAGGCGAGGCGCGCGATCTTCGACCAGCGCCCAGGTACATTCTAGCTCAGATTTCTCGCATTCTAGCGCCGGCATTGGATCGATGGATGTTTGATGCGAGGCTCTTTGCAGGCGCGGCAAGAGATCGAGAGCAGTGATTCCATCCCGCCAGGGTTTTAGGGTTTATCGGGCATGGCGTGCTGCACGGCAGTCACGTCCTCGGCAGCGGCAGCGAGCGGCACCACTTTCCAGGCCGCCAAGCCTTCGATTACCCCCTCCCGGTCGCCAGTGGCTCTAGGATTCGGCTTCTCACACTCGCAACAGAGCTTCCACCAGGCATTGCAAGCCGAGATTTTCAGAGAGCGTGTCCCCGGGCGGAGGTCCTCTTCCTCGCTGGTGGTCCGCGCGGCAAAGGGGAAATTCGAGAGGAAGAAGCCGCACGTCAACATCGGCACAATCGGGCATGTGGATCACGGCAAGACCACCTTGACAGCGGCGCTAACTTTCATTGGAATCGGTGGTGGAAAGCCCAAGAAGTATGACGAGATCGACGCTGCTCCGGAGGAGAAAGCTCGCGGGATCACCATCAACACGGCGTGCGTGGAGTATGAGAGCGAGGAGCGGCACTACGCTCACGTCGATTGCCCCGGCCATGCCGACTACGTCAAGAACATGATCACTGGAGCAGCGCAGATGGACGGGGCCATCCTGGTCGTGTCTGGAGCCGATGGGCCGATGCCACAGACGAAAGAACACGTCCTCCTGGCCAAGCAAGTCGGGGTGCCGAGCATGGTCGTGTTCCTCAACAAGCAGGACATGGTGGACGACGAGGAGCTCCTCCAGCTCGTGGAGCTCGAGGTCCGCGAGCTTCTCAACTCGTACGAGTTCCCGGGAGACGACGTCCCCGTGGTATCTGGATCAGCTCTCAACGCTCTCACGGCGCTGACGAGCAACAAGGAGATCAAGCGAGGGGACGATAAGTGGGTGGACAAGATCTACGAGCTCCGGGACGCGGTGGACAAGTACATCCCGATTCCTCCACGGCAGACGGACCTCCCGTTCCTCATGGCGATCGAGGACGTGTTTTCGATCACCGGGCGTGGAACTGTGGCCACGGGACGGGTCGAGAGGGGCACCGTCAAGGTTGGCGAGGTGGTCGAGATCGTTGGCCTGGGCGATACAAGGAACACGACGGTGACCGGGTGCGAGATGTTCAAGAAGGAGCTGGACGAGGCACTGGCTGGCGATAACTGTGGATTGCTCTTGAGAGGCATCCAAAAGACGGACATCCAGAGGGGAATGGTGCTCGCCAAGCCCGGATCGATCCAGCCGTTTAGCAAGTTCGAGGCGCAAGTCTACGTGCTCAAGAAGGAAGAAGGTGGACGCCACTCGCCATTCTTCTGCGGCTACAGGCCCCAGTTCTACATGAGAACGACGGACGTGACGGGCAAGGTGATCGAGGTGACCGGCGAGAAAGGGGAGGAATCCAAGATGGTGATGCCGGGCGATCGCGTCAACATGAAGGTGGATCTCATCACCCCGATCGCGTGCGAGAAGAAGATGAGATTTGCGATTCGCGAGGGTGGCAAGACCGTGGGTGCTGGAGTGATCCTGAACGTGATGAAGGAGTGAGTTGATTCAATGGAGGTGGAGAGGTATGCAGGTCTGTGTCATTCTTCCAGTATTTTTCCAGTTACTAAGGTCAAGAGCAAGGCAGGCATTGGCGAGTTTTTGGGAAAGTAATCAAAAAACTAGTGTTCGTCCAAGGGTCAAAAATTAGTCGAAACTAGTCAATGTTAACTGTTGGACAGTGAGAATATTCTAATGATTCATGTGGAAGAATATGCCTAGAATATCGTAATACTTTAATCTTCAATCCAACGGCTGTGATTTACTACTCTTAAACTGTTCTCTAATTTGTTTATTTAATGTTTGCTTATCACTAATACAAAACATGTTTAAAAAGGTAACTTTGCTCCGTCATCAAGATATCCATCAGCTTGCATTCCATTTGCACCATCTGTGAAAGGCCCACCTAAAGTTTCCTCACTTAAAATAATATCATTAAGAAGGGTGGCTACACCATCCAAATACAAAACCTCTTACCTGTTTCTATGTGAAGCTTTCCGTTTCCAGTCTCGATTGCAGTTTCAAGTGAGGGTCACTTTTTCCACTCCTATCTTTTGGTGCTAGATTCCTTCCTTCAACTACTGTGACTTTGATCTTTCTGTCCGTGAGGTACCGGTTGCGTCTAATTGTAAGAGGATTGTCTGGAAACACCATCCTTTTAGAACTAGTTTCACGGTTATCTGTTCAGTCATATAAAGTTAACCGTGTTCAGGCAAGTAAAGAGGAAGAATAAATAATTACCTCCCCAGATCTGTCCTCAATGGGAACAATCAGTTGACTTCTCTAGATTGTCCTTGGCAAGGTCTGCTGAGAAGGATGATTCACTGGGATCTATCAAAGCTTACATATACTTCTCAGGCCCAATATTAAGTCAATATTTCAAGTACTATCTTCGATCAAGCACAACTTTAGTATCTGCTGGTTCCAGCTAGTTATCAAAAAAAACCCGGCGCTCCTGCTTTTTTTTCTTTTTTTTTTTTTTTTTTTTTTTTTTTTTCCTTT